GCCCCGGGCCCGCTTGGCGGGGGTGGGACCTCGAACTGCGCAACTGTTGGGGGCAGTTCAACGTGAAAACACGGGGTGTTGTAAATAATTTTATTTTTACAGGGTGTTTTTCAACCTCGGGGTATCGAATTAGCAGCGATGGAAAGCCAGCGAAATTTCAGCCGCCTCCGAAGCCCGTCATTATTGACAAGAAGAAGGAGAGGGAGGCGAGGAGGTAGGGTGCCCTGGTGCTTGTCATAGTGGGCTTATGTTCAGGTCTGCCTCAGGCTCGTAATTGTGTGAAAGTCTTCTTAAAGCTCTGAGGCGTTATTATCATAGAGTAGTTTGAGTTGGAAGGGACCTTTAAAGGTCATCTAGACCAATCCCTCTGCAACAAGCAGGGAGGTTTTTAACTAGAGCAGATTGCTCAGAGCCCCGTCCAACCTGACCTGGAATGTTTCCAGGGATGGGGCATCTACCACCTCTCTGGGCGACCTGTGCCAGTGTTTCACCACTCTCATTGTGAAACATTCCTTCCTTGTACCTAGTCTAAAACTACCTTCTTTTAGTCTAAAACCGTTACCCCTTGTTCTATTGCAACAGGCCCTTGCTAAAAAATCTGTCCTCATCTTTCTTATAAGCCCACTTTAAGTATTTTACTCCACAAAAAGTATTTGCAAAGTTCTAGCAAAGATAATTTATGTTGAAATATGCTTACAGAAAGTAAAATACTGTGTTCTAGAGTTTCTGAAAGCAGTGAAACAGGAAAAAATGTATAGCAGTAAAGATTTTTGCAAATTTGGGATTGATGTGTGAGGGTTTTGTCTGTTAAAGGCATACATCTCTTCAGTATACCACAAGGTGTCAGGGACATGGGTCCTGTGTCTGCCTTTGACTTAGACCTTGAGATCAGCTGTAAGTACATGCATTGCTGTTTGTGAAATGGACCTGCAGAATGCTTTTGTTTTACACTTACAAAAGTTTGGATTTTCTTACAGGTTCTTGAGTCCTGAATTTATACCTCCCAGAGGGAGAACAGATCCTTTTAAATATTATATAGAAAGAAAGGATATGATACAGAGACGGAAAGTCTTCAACATCCCAGAGTTCTATGTTGGTCAGTAACAGCACTAGGACTTACAAAATTTCATCAATATTAAGGTGTGGTTTCATGTTGTAGAATATCATAGAACATCACAGTACCAGACATTTTAGATCAAACAGTATGTGTTTCTATACATACTACTGTGTATTTTAATTTCATATTTACATTCAGTTTCCATTAAAAGTATAATACTAGTGTGTTTCTTCTGTGTTTTTTAAAACTGACATAAGGCTTACCAGTAAAGCTCAAGAAAGAAAAATACATTCGATTATTTGTATTCAGTTTGCATAATGAAGAGTAAAAGATGAAGGTGAATGTGTAAAGGAGAAGAAGCTTCACAGTTCACCTGCAGAATTACTTTAACATGTATTAATTTGGGGCATGTTACAAGTTTATTCAGTTTCTGGCAGTTTTCATGGAAATTAAAACACTTTCAGAATGTCCCTAAACGTGTGCACTTTGACTCTCTTCCCACATCTTGGTATGTATTTACTTGAACAGTCTGTTTTTGGTTTGGTTTTTTTTTTGGCAGGCAGTGTACTTGCCGTTACTACTGCAGATCCATATGCCAATGACAAAGCCAACCGCTTTGTAGGCATCTGCATTCAAAGAGGAGGAAAAGGACTTGGTGCTACCTTTGTCCTTCGGAATGTTATAGAAGACCAAGGTGGGGTTTTAACTGTGGCAATTATGCTAGAAATGTTAAGCAAAAAATGTTGGAGTTGTATGTGAAGGGATATCTGGTATAGAAATTTACTCTGCAGAGAGGATGAGAATAGATTAAAGTGAAATCGTGAGTCTACCTACTAGGGGATACTGTAGGTTTAAAATTATACACAGAGATGCTGATGTGCCATATATTTGAAGGCATGGAACAGCTTAGTAATTTAATGTCTGTATACTTCGTGATTTTTAGATCTGTGTTCTGAGGAGACTGTCTGTGATCCACTATGGCTGCGCTTATATTTGAGCCTGGGCAGCCTACTGCTAACTGTGTAAATACTAGCCCAGTTTGAGCACAGTATATTTGCATGAACTGGGGCTGCATGCATGCACTGTTTAACAAGCAATGGATTAGCGGAGTTTTGTAATAAATTCATGTTCTGGTTTATGGCAAAAGAACGGGCAATGCAAATACTGATGTTCTGAGAGCAAATATGAAAGGGGTGGGTGTCTCTTTATAAACACTTACACATACAATGAGATAGATAGCAACAGCCATTGTAACCAAAGGGGAGTAAGGTTTAAAACCCAAGCTCATCTTCCTTAAATTAAAGCCATTCGAAGTCTCTCAAGCCATTCTATTCTCAAAGACTTGACTTAAAAAAGAAATTTGCATTTGCCTGTGCAGACACAATGCACATGTGCAATCACATGTGTACACAGCACTGTATATTGTGGTTCTCTGTGTAAGTAAAAAGCACTTCCTGAGTATAACAAGGATGTATAAAACTGAAGAAATACAAATTTGGTGTTAGTATTTCTAATGAATTTGGTTCATTAAATCAGACTTTCTCCCTCTAAGGTGTCGAAATACGCTATGAACTGTACAGTCCTCGCATCCAGGCGATCGAGGTTCTGAAGCTGGAGAAGAGGCTGGATGACAACCTGATGTACCTGCGAGATGCCCTCCCTGAATATAGTACTTTTGATGTGAATATGAAACCTGTGTCTCATTTAGACCATGAAGAAGTTCCTGTTAACAAGGTAGGAGCCACATGTTTCAGAGGGAAGGTGGAGGTTCGTTTAGGTAACTTTCATATCTGACTGTTAAACAGCTCTTTGGTGCATTAGTTACCAGGGTGACAAAAGTATACAAAATAAGACAAGTTTTTATGCTATTTCTGTAGTGAAACAACATTGAGAATGTAAATACCTACCATCCTCAGTAGTTAATTTTGAAGACATGCAAGGAGTAGTGACCTCCACATGCCTCTGTATAATATTGTGTAGAGAGTAAAGCATTTCTTATGGAAATGTTATTGTTAATGTTGTTACTGATTTGGGACTGGTAGGTGTCAGGGAAGAAGGTAAGATTGGAAGAGTCAGCTAAAATCCGCATCTCAGAGAAGATCTAGAAACCAGCAGACCCTGTCAAAGAGTGTTGTCTAGTAACTCAGTAACTTACAGTGATCATTTCTCCCTTTCTCCATCATGCTCCTTTTCTTTTTCCTTAACAAGGAACAGGAGTAGAACTACAAGAGGAGTTAACTTCACTTTATGTATCTGTTTAAGGACTGTGTAATAAATCAAGACAGTGTTAATTAAAAAGTTTTACAAGATACTATGACAACAGTCATGTGGACACAAAACATTCCTTCTTTCCTAACAGTGTAAAGTAGTAGTTCCTTAACATACTGACAAATTGATCTGCTTTCTCTCACCTTCCTTCTGTTAGAGCATCAGTTGTGAGCTTAGCAAAAGGGGAGACAATCAAAATTCTGATTACTTAATACCTTTTGATTTTTTATTTTTTTTTTTAATCTTTCACCCTAGCTGCAAGTACGAATGAAACCTAAACCATGGTCAAAACGGTGGGAAAGGCCAAAATACAACATCAAAGGAATAAAGTTTGAGCTACCTGAAAAAAAAATGAAAGAAGCACAGAAGTGGAGCCAGCCGTGGCTAGAGTTTGATATGCTGCGAGAGTATGATACTTCAAAAATAGAGGAGAAGATTTGGAAGGAAGTGAGTGAAGAGCTTAAAAAATAATAATGTTTTTTGCAGTCTAGGAATTACTGAGAAAATTACTAAAAAATTACGGAGAAAATATTTACTTTGAATTTAATGTGTGGATTATCAGTTACCTGGTTTTGTATGTACATAGGCAAAATACACAGTAAAGTTACCCTTTCCAGAAAATGTCAGAGTGTACAAATTTTTGTGGTTGAACACTAACTTTGTATTCCTGAAAACAGCCACTGCTTTTGCTGAGGAGTGTAATGCGATGTTCACCCCTTCTCCAGAAATGGGAAACCTTCTTTTTTAAATTACAGTTAGCAAGAGGGGTTTGTATCACCCGTTCAAGTTAGTTGTGTTGTCATTTCCAAATACTTCTGTTGCTTCTCTCTTTACAGACTAAGTAGTGGCCAGTTGTAGAACTGCTTGACTTACAGCTTCAGAAATGGGCTGTAGCAGGGAAGTAGTCATGTCTGAGCTGCATGTACACTTTTAGAGTAAGTGCTATTTAGTTTTCCCTTTGAAAAAAAATATGTTGTTGAGAGCAGTAATACTAATCTGCCAACAGAGCAGCAAATACAAATGCTCTGAAATCAGTTTTGAAGAACTGAGCCAGTTTAAGTCAAGTCATGTGAATTAGTGTAAGGTTCATGATGAAATACTCACAAAGTGTCAGAGTAGGTTCTTAATACTGGGACAGCTGGTTTCATAAAACTGTATTTCCATATTAGAAACACACAGGGGTTCTGAGCTCAAGTGTTAATTGCCTTTCCATGCTTACAAGTCATTACAAGTAATCTTTCTTCCAGAAAGAAACAGCTGCAGAACTACATTGTTGTGGTGGGATGCCAGTTTCCTACCAAAGCCACTCACCTGGACAGGGGAGAGAAAATATAATGAGACGCTTGTGGGTTGAGATAAGGACAGGGAGAGATCACTCAGGAATTGCCATCATGGGCAAAACAGACTCGACTTGGGGAAAAAAAGTAATTTCATTCATTACCCATCAACTCAGAGTAGGGTAATGAGAAATAAATTCAAAATCTTAAAACACCTTCCCCCAACTGCTCCCTTCTTCCTGAGCTCAATTTCACTCCTGATTTCTCTACCTCCTGCCCTGAGCAGCGCAGGGGGATGGGGAATGGGAGTTGTGGTCAGTTCATCACACCTGGTCTCTGCTGCTCCTTCCTCCTCAGGGGGAGGACTCCTCACACTCTGC